CCCCCCGTCAGGCTGCTGGGCAATGTCCCACAAGCTCTGGCTGCATTTCTTCTGCTGACCTTCATTCACCCAGTCAGTCATTACTCAGTTGAGAAATACTCTTTGAGCATTTGCCATGAACCAGGTACAGTTCTAGGGGAGCAAGTGTTCTAGGGAAACACGAACATGGTCCCTGGTCTCACAGGGAAGACAGACGGCAAGCAAGTACATAAACAGACATAGTCATTGCTGATTTTGGCAGGGGCTAGGATAGACACTCGGGGTGAGCTTTTGCTAGGGGACAGGCAGGAGGTGGTATCTGTGCCAAGACCTGAGATGTGAGAAGAAACCAGTCATGAGCAGATGGGTGGGCATGAGGTAAAGGGACCAACCCATCCATGCAGAGGCACCGAGGGGAGAAAGAGCTTGGGGCAGTTGAGGAAATAGAGGCTGACAGGGAGGGCTGGTCAGGATGAAGTGAGAAGGGTCGCAGGGACCAGGCCAGATCACACAGCACCTGCTCGGGACACAACTGGGGGCTGGGTTTATTCTAAGTGTGGTCAAAAGCCATCAGAGAAGCCCCAGCTGGGATGGAGGCTAGAGGGTTGTTGGTGTGTATCGGGCACCTGATGTCAGGGATGACAGGCTCCCAAGGAGAATATGGGGTCGCAAGTGCCCAGAGCCTGGCTGCCTGTCTTGATGACCCTCAGGACATGGGTGGGGGTCCCCCCTCTCTTGTGGTGCCTGTGGACCTTTGGGCATATGGTAGGAGCAGGAGAACCTGTTTGGCTGTCCCAGGTAGTTCTCTGTTAACTTGGAGGAAGGAGGAGTCAAGTTTTGTGCACAGAGAAGCTGGAGAGTCATAGTGCTGGCAGGAAGGGCAGAGGGCTGGGCCTCCTGCATGCAGACCTCCTCAGGCCCCTGCCCGCTGTCAGCTCAGCCATTGCCCGCAGGCCCCGGAAGAATCCCCTGTTCATTGTGGACCTGGTGCTGGACAGCTCGGGGGTGCACTACAGTACACCACTGGAGCAGTTTGAGACATCTCTGCTCAACCTCTTTGACAAAGGCATCCTGGCCACCCATGCTGTGCCCCAGCTGGAGAAGGTACATGCCACAGCTTGAGTGGGCCCGGGGCACCTGCTGCCCTGGCTGCTGGTGGCTCCCTGAGCCTCACAGTGCTGCTGCAAATATGAGAGCAGTTTGTCTTTATCACAGGCCTCCCACCTGGCGAGTAGTGTGCCCAGCCCTGTAATCTTCAAATATCTCATTTAATCCTCACCGCAGACTGATTTGTGAACTGTTAGCATCTCATTTTGTAGATGAGGCTTAGAGAAGTCTAATTGCTAGCCTGAGGTCACATAGCTACTAAGTGTCAGAACTGTGATTTGAATCCTGAACTTGCTGGACCACTCTTGCCACAGCCATGTGTAGACCCAGATCCCACGCAGCTCCTGGCCTCTGTCCTCTGTCTCTAGAGGTGGACACAGGTCCCCTTGTCAAAAGTCCTCACTAGTTACCACTGCCACACACACCCCCAACTGCGCGCAGCCTACTCCCCCAGGCCCAAGAGCCTATGTAACTCAAGTCCCCTGTTGTCTCCCTTGCTGGTCAATCAGAGCCATCAGTGCCCTGCTTGCCCCTTCTGTTCCTTTCCTTGGCACTGGGCTGAGTCAGGCCCAGACAAAGGTGGACATTTGTATTAGTCTGCAGCCCCCTCTAAAAGATATTGCAGCAAAGCCTCTCCCCCACCCCTACACCATGCCCTCTGTGCTTGATTGCACTGCCACCCTCTCAGTCTTTAGGCCACATCCTGCCTCAAGGACCCCAACTTTTCAACCCCTCTGCTCGCCTGCCCCATGACTCATCTGGCTCTGCCCCTCCTGGTCCCTTCCCTCAACAGCTGGTGACAGAGAACATCTTTATCAGTGGCAACCCCCTGCTGGAGTCAGTGGGGCTTCATGAGCCCCTGGTGGAGGAGCTACGGGCCGTCATCGCCAATGCTATGCGCAAGGCCATGATCCCACTGCAGGCGTATGCCAAGGAGTACAGAAAGTACCTGGAGCTGAACAACAACGACATTGCCACTTTTCTCAGGTGCATATGTGTGTGCATGTGTATGGCATCTGTGCCGTGTGTGTGTGTGTGTGTCCCCTGCCCATCCTGCTCACCCATCCTCTGCCTCCTCATGTGTGTGTCTTCAGGGCCTACCAGATGCAGTGCCCGTCGGCTGAGGAGGTGCGAGAGATGGTGCTCACCCACCTACGGGAGAAAGAGATCCTGGACAACTCATTGCCCAGCAGCATCATCATCGGGCCCTTCTACATCAATGTCGACAACATCAAGCAGAGCCTCTCCAAGAAGCGCAAAGCCCTGGCCACTTCCATGCTGGACATCCTGGCCAAGAACCTGCACAAGCAGGTGGACAGTGTAAGTGCCCACCTACCTGACCACAGTGACCACAGCAATACACATACCCTCACATACACAGTGTGCTTCTGCTAGCAAGATGTCCCCAGGCAGGGCTAGGGGTGCCTGCAGGTGCCCAGGCCAATGGAAGGAACTAGAAGTCATTCTGCCCTGATATAGGGAGCTGTCCTATATGGGAGGTCACATGAAAGGGGGGTTTCTACCTCCTTCCCCAGACTTGTAGAAGCCTGGGAATTCCTCATGAAGTACACCCCGGGATGAGGGCTTCACAGAGCTGAGATGTGCAAGGGTGGGTCTCAGAAGTCCTGTGTGTGTTGGTGGGGCCAGAGGAGGCTGGGAGGCTGAAGTGCACTAGGTGATGCCCTTGCCCCACTGAGAGGCCTCAGCAAGCCAGGGAGCCCACCAAGAACACCCCTCTTGGAAAGCACCTCAGGGTGTGGTGGGGGGTACAATTATCTGTTGGGAGACATTGAGGACCAAGAAGGAAGAGCGGGCCCCAGGGAAGACAGGAGAGGGGCACACTGCCCTCCCCAGCATGCCCCTACCACTGCCAGATCTGTGAGGAGTTCCGCAGCATCAGCCGCAAGATCTACGAGAAGCCCAACAGCATCGAGGAGCTGGCTGAGCTGCGCGAGTGGATGAAGGGCATCCCCGAGAAGCTGGTGGGGCTGGAGGTGAGGCAGGCGCACAGGTCATGGGGCTGGGAGGCAAGGGGCTGGTGTTCAGAGTCTGAGGGCTGGGGCAAGCAGGGGCTGAGAGGGCAGGAGCCAAGAGGCCAGAGGTGAGGTAAATACACAGAGGACAGGTGGGGTCCGGGGGTTATGAGCTGGGGGCATGGTAGAGGTTCAGAGCTATGGTGTCTGGGAGGTCAGGAGGGCTGAAGGCATGGGTCAGGGTGTTGGAAGTTGGAGGTGTGGCGGCCATGGCCCTTGGAACCCTGAGCCTAGTGCTGGCCTTGCACCCTGTGCCCCCTCCCCAACCCCAGGTCTCCCCTTTCTGGAAGGGAGCCATTCCTTAGCACCCAGCGACTTTGGGAGCTCAGTCCCAGTACCCCCACGTCCTTGGCACGCATGTAGTTCTCATCACCACCTGTCCATGCAGGAGCGGATTGTGAAGGTTATGGACAACTACCAGGTCATGGACGAATTCCTTTACAACCTCACCACAGATGACTTCAATGACAAGTGAGTGGGAGCTTGGGTGGTTGGACAGCAGGAGGCGGGGGAAGAGGTGCTCTGCTGCAGTTGTGTGGTCGCACCAGAAACGCCCTGCCAGATGCTGGAAGCATGGCTCCACACATGGGCCAGGACCAGGCAGGGCTGGGAGGCCTATGGGCAGAAGGAAATCATCTGGGCCTCTTAGCCTGTGAATCCAGCTGCTCCCCTATCCTTGTCTCTATCCTGTCAACAGCTTGATATACAAATGTTCACCTGGACCTAGGGTCCCCTTGTTCGTGGTTGGGGCTGTTGGGAGTCTTTGGGTGCAGTGAAAGAAGGCAAAGCCCAGCCTGGCAGACAGTCCCTGGCGAAGGGCACTTGCTCCACCAGTTCAAGAGCCTTGTGAGAAAACGGCCTCAGGAACTCTCTTCCAACCAAGCCTTACTGAGGCCACCAGAGACCCCTCACCCAGCCCTACCTCACAGCTGGGGGACCTCCAGCACCATCAGGGCCTTGCCCAGGATCCCAAAACACCAGCTCAACAGGGCATCCTGGTGCTCGGGGGTGGGGGTTGGGTTCCCCCAGGGTCAGCATTTCTAGGCCAGCTGCAGGTGGAAGCCCGGAATTCTACAGATCCCTGTGTCAGTCAGGTGAGGGGAGTTGGTCTGATATGAAGGAAGCTGGCCTGGTGGCCCTGGTTGGTCACCAAGGACATGCAGGCTAGAGACTGTCAATTTGCCTCATCTCAGGTGACGCCCCTCCAGACCCTGGGGCTTAAGAGGCAGCTTGGCACTGCTTCTTTCATTTCTCCTGTGCTCCCATCCTTGCACTGGGCACATGGGATCTACATCTCACTGGATGTTGACTGCAGCTCCCAGAGAGCAGAGCAGGGGTTGCCTCTCAGCTCACCTAGACTTACTAGTTGCCCAGCCCCTCCAGCCTGAATTCCCCTCTGTTCCTACCTTCACTCTGGCTACCTAGGTGCCTGGCAGGATGCCCCTGCCTGGCCTTTCCACCCCATCATTTCAGCTGTGGCATTCCCCCCATCCCCACCCCCAAACCGGCTAGATGGGCTGCCAGCAACTGGCCTTCTAAGATCCTCGGGCAGATAGAGATGGTACGGCAGCAGCATGTCGAGGATGAGGAGAAGTTCCGCAAAATCCAGGTCATGGATCAGAACAACTTCCAGGAGAAGCTGGAAGGGCTGCAGGTGGGCTGTGCTGAGACTCTGTGCTAGGATACTCTCCCTGGCACACACACACACTTGCATTCAGGCAGTGCCATGTCAGTGTGTGATGGACGAGCGGATGGATGAATGAATAAATGGCTGAAAGAATGAACCAAAAGGCCAAAGAGATACCTGGACAGCAAGCTCCAGAAAGTCAGAGTAGGAAAGACCCCAACTCTTCTGTTGTGTCCTTGGCACCTCAGTGGGCAGTGGGCACAGTGTCTGGGGCACTGGGTCTCCCCCTGGCCTTGCCATGTTACCATGAAGCAGGCACCTTGCCTGTGGTGGGCTAGGAGCCTGCTCACTCCAGGAGCACAAAGTCCCCTCAGAACTAGGAGGAGCTGATGCCCTGGGTGTGTGTGGGAATGTGTGGGCACAGGTGGGGCTGCAGAGGCATCTATCTGATCCATTGCTCCTTGGCCCACAGCTGGTGGTGGCTGGCTTCTCTACCCACGTGGACATCACGCGAGCACACGAGATTGCCAACGAGGTGCGGCGGGTCAAGAAGCAGCTGAAGGACTGCCAGCAGCTGGCAATGCTCTACAACAACCGCGAGCGCATCTTTGGCTTGCCCATTACCAATGTAGGCCTCCTGTGGCACCCTGCCCTCCTAAACACCCAGGGCTTGAGGAAGCAGCTCATGTCTACAGCCACATCAGAATCCAGTTGCCAGGTGGCAGGGCTCTGGCATTTGGGGGCGCAGAACTGAGCAGGTTGCCATGTGGAGATAATCCAGCCCTGGCCCTCTGGTAGAAGAGTCTGCTGGAACCAGGCAGGAGGACTGAGGGTCAGCCCAGACCTTGCTCAACAGCTCAGGGCCCAGAGCCTGGGTGGGGCAGGAAGCAGGGAGGACAGGCCTGGGGCCATGGGGACAGGATCAGGGACAGCAACTAGGAGCAAGGGAGGAGAGAGGACCTGGGCCAAGAAGGAGCAGTGTGGAGAGAGACTGGGGAACATCCTGAGACAGCCCCAGCCCTGCCCTCTGTCCTTACAGTACGACAAGCTCTCCAGGATGGTGAAGGAATTCCAGCCCTACCTGGACCTCTGGACCACAGCCTCTGACTGGCTGCGCTGGTCTGAGAGCTGGATGAATGACCCCCTGTCAGCCATCGATGCTGAGCAGCTGGAGAAGAATGTCATCGAGTCCTTCAAGACCATGCACAAATGCGTGAAGCAGTTCAAGGACATCCCAGGTAGGTGGCCAAGCCAGCCAGTCCCCTCTTTTCCTGCCTGTGCTGGCTGCCACTCATTCCTGCCATCTCTGCTTGGCAGCCTGCCAGGAGGTGGCCTTAGACATCCGGGCCCGCATCGAGGACTTTAAGCCATACATCCCGCTGATCCAGGGGCTGCGCAACCCCGGCATGCGGAACCGGCATTGGGATATACTGTCAAATGTGATCAACATCAATGTCAGGCCCAAAGCCAATCTGACCTTTGCCCGCTGCCTCGAGATGAACCTGCAGGATCATATTGAGAGCATCAGCAAGGTGGCCGAGGTGGCCAGCAAGGAGTATGCCATCGAGCAGGTGGGCAGCCACCAGCAGCCCCTGCCCCCCACCCAGGGCCTGCTGGACAGCCTGGCCTCCAGTCCTTGCAATCCCAGCCACCGGGGAGGATAACAGTAATGGGCCTCATCCATGGGATCATCATGCCCAAAGGTCGAGGTGCATTCAATTAAGTGAGTTAATAATGAATGCAAAGTGCTTGCACAGTGTCCACCATTGCTACTTATTATACCTCAGTTACTCCTCTTAAGATCCCCAGAAAGGAGCTGATAGCATTATCCTCATTTAACAGATAAGTAAATTAAGGCTCAAAGAGCTTAGCACCGGCCAAAGTGACACAGCCAGTAAGTACCGGAGCTGAGACCAGCGTCCACACTCCTAACTGGCCCGAGTGGCCTCCCAGCATGGGTGTACAGTGTGTTGTGCACATGCAGCATGCGTGTGAGAGTGACTCAGCCCTGAGTTCAGACAAGGGCCCATGGGGGATGTATGTCATCGAGTCCTTCAAGACCATGCACAAATGCGTGAAGCAGTTCAAGGACATCCCAGGTAGGTGGCCAAGCCAGCCAGTCCCCTCTTTTCCTGCCTGTGCTGGCTGCCACTCATTCCTGCCATCTCTGCTTGGCAGCCTGCCAGGAGGTGGCCTTAGACATCCGGGCCCGCATCGAGGACTTCAAGCCATACATCCCGCTGATCCAGGGGCTGCGCAACCCCGGCATGCGGAACCGGCATTGGGATATACTGTCAAATGTGATCAACATCAATGTCAGGCCCAAAGCCAATCTGACCTTTGCCCGCTGCCTCGAGATGAACCTGCAGGATCATATTGAGAGCATCAGCAAGGTGGCCGAGGTGGCCGGCAAGGAGTATGCCATCGAGCAGGTGGGCAGCCACCAGCAGCCCCTGCCCCCCACCCAGGCCCTGCCGGACAGCCTGGCCTCCAGTCCTTGCAATCCCAGCCACCGGGGAGGATAACAGTAATGGGCTTCATCCATGGGATCATCATGCCCAAAGGTCGAGGTGCATTCAATTAAGTGAGTTAATAATGAATGCAAAGTGCTTGCACAGTGTCCACCATTGCTACTTATTATACCTCAGTTACTCCTCTTAAGATCCCCAGAAAGGAGCTGATAGCATTATCCTCATTTAACAGATAAGTAAATTAAGGCTCAAAGAGCTTAGCACCGGCCAAAGTGACACAGCCAGTAAGTACCGGAGCTGAGACCAGCGTCCACACTCCTAACTGGCCCGAGTGGCCTCCCAGCATGGGTGTACAGTGTGTTGTGCACATGCAGCATGCGTGTGAGAGTGACTCAGCCCTGAGTTCAGACAAGGGCCCATGGGGGATGTGCTGATCAGACAAGCTGAGAGTGTTTGCTAGAGGGGCCCATGGGAAGGTCATGGCCAGGCAGAGTCTGTTCTTCCCTGCCCAGAGCTGGCCAGACAGCATGATGGCCAGCCCCTTCCCCAAACCCAGCCTTGACTCGTCCCCCACCCTAGGCACTGGACAAGATGGAGAAGGAGTGGTCGTCCATTCTCTTCAACGTGCTGCCCTACAGGGAGACAGACACCTACATCCTCAAGAGCCCAGACGAGGCCTCACAGCTGCTTGATGACCACATTGTCATGACCCAAAGCATGTCCTTCTCACCCTACAAGAAGCCCTTTGAGCAACGCATCAACTCCTGGGAGAACAAACTGAAGCTGACCCAGGTGGGCCTTCCTTCCTGTCCTTCCCTTTTCCCTCCCCCAACCTCAAGGTACCCTGTCCTGCAAGTGACACTTTATGGCATCTGGGTAGGGCTTGAAGCAGTGGAATGCCTTGCCTATTGTATTAGTCCATTTTGTGTTGCTATAACAGAAATACCTGAGACTGGGTAATTTATAAAGAAGAGAGGTTTATTTGGCTTACGATTCTGGGACAGCTGCATCTGGCACGGGCTTCAGGCTGCTTCTACTCATGGCAGAATGCAGCAGGCAGCCGGTGGGTACAAGCAGGCCACATGGCGAGAGGAAGCAAGAGAGAGAGAGAGAGAGAGGAGGTGCCAGGGTCTTTTAAACAACCAGCTCTCGCAGGAACTAATAGAGCAAGACCTTACTCATTAATCCCCCCACCTAGGGAGAACATTAATCCATTCATGATGGATCTGCCCCCACGACTCAGTCAGTTTCCAACACTGCCATATTGGGGATCAAATTTCCACATGAGTTCTGGGAGGACAATACATCCAAACTCCATCACCCAGTTCTCACAGCTCCTGGCTCTCTGACAGGCCCCTCCACTTGGATGAGGGTGACCGGGATGGGGCTCTCCAGCTATGAGTTTCAGCTACTGAAAGAGGCAATTAAGGATGTGGAGGGCACAGTGTTTGATCCAAAAGTGTGGCTGAGGAAGGGCACAGGAGCTGCCAGCAGACCCCCTAAAGGCTGCCTGGGCTTGGGACAACCAGCACCTCCAGTACTAGAATTTTGGGGGCTAGACACCGTGAGACCCTAAGTCTCCTCAATGCCCTTTCCCATCCTCCCCTGAACCTCTCGTTCCCATCTCACTTGGAACTATCTTAGGGTGAGGGAGGGGCCAGGGCGCTGCCCTGTCTTGGGCTCTCACAGCCAGAGGC